GCAACACAAGCCCAATACTTATTTCCTTCAATCGGCTTTTGGGCCATGAAAAACAAATCGTACTTTGAGGAAGTCATTTTTGCGGAGAAGAAGAAGAGGGATTGGGCGCAATGTCGGCCTGGCCCATTAAATTATACTATCAGAATTGTCTAGGGCTCGGCTGCTCTATTGCCGATCGGTATACACAGCGGAGAGCCTGAGCCGGAGGCCGCCGCCACTTCCGCCGCATCATCACGACGTCGACTCGCCTTCAAGTGTGCGTGCTCCCTGCTCCGTCCTAATTATCTTCCCTTCTTCTTATCGTCCACGCCACCCGCATCGCGTCCCTTATCTGCGTACATGACTAGGGTTACCATCCTTCTATAGGTTTTAGCCGGGTGCTTCGATGAGAAGTTAGCAATTCCTTAGGCGACTTGCTTCTGGGTACCCTGATCTGAAACCAAGATTACCACTGTAATATCCTAGTAGAACACTATGTAGTCCCACTTAATTGTGTCGATGTATTCTCATCCAGTATAGAACACTACGTAATTCCAGAAAAAAATTCTGGACTTGAATTTAATTCCCTTTATTTCTGCTCTGCTTGTAAATACTGCACGGTCTTGAGCAGCTTAATTTGCTGAGACCTTGCGATGCTCGGTTTTAAGGTTTAGGCCGTTGACACTCTCGATCAGAAATACGATTGCATCTGGTTATCGGTATCTTAACTGTAACACTAATACTGCATGCTGATCCAGTGTTACTGATAAGTTCTGTATGTTCTAATCCGGTGTCTCTCTCCCTCTGTGCTTCGCGCTTTATATCTTTACTTCGGTTATTGTGTTGTCTAGTTCATTCTTCTAATACATGTGTTTCATTTTATCGTGTTGCAGAGGAGCTGCAGTTATTTGCAAGAGCAAGGCCTGCTATATCTGTGCCTCTGCCATGTCCGACGGTTTCCGGTGCTGGGCAGACCTTCCGGACGGACTGCTGGACTCTATCATTGCTCGGCTGGGTGCTTCCCGTGATCT